TGCACGGTGTTGTGTGAGTGTTTGTTGGTGTGTGGTTAGGTAGTAACTGTGGTGTGTATGTGTGTAAGTGAGTCTGCCAACGACAGCGGTCGTGAGATGAGAGAAGAGCGAGTGGAGAGAAGTCAGGACTGAACAGGTGTTATTAGCTGCTCCACTATATGTAAATTATTTTGCCTACTCCAAGTAATGTAGGACTCCTAGACGCTGAGCTCACTATCACATAATATATCTGTAACGGTGGACATAGCACCAGACACAAATCACACGTCATCACACACACTTCTAAATGACGCTCCTTTGAGTAAGAAGTAATATACGAATGAGGTTACTCCAGTTCACCCAATATCAATGTAATTCGGCTATGGGCAAATACAACTAACAAAGATACGATCGAGCACAAATAAGACATGCATTGGAAGAGTTTTAACGCGAAATGACGTTAGAACGATGAGTAGAGTAGTAGTAGGTTAGAGGCAACGTAGCAGAGAGAGAGGACGCCATGCGGTGCGATTGACGGCTAGTAAAATGGAGTTACACGTGGCGTAGACACGCTGCGGTGCGCTGACGATAGCGTACAGTACGGTCGCCGTGGGTGTGTGGAAGCTAGTATACTTTGGTAAGTGTCTGCTACGTGTGTGGCGACGCTGGTGTTCGGTGTGTGGAGTAGATTCGGCTCTGTGTTGGCTATGGTATCGGTGCGTCAGTTGTGTGTTGTGCCGCTGTGTGGTGTGGTGTACGGGGTGTTGAGTGATTGTGTGTGTGGTGTGTGGTGCTTTGTGTGTTAGTGTTGTTGTGTGGTTGTGTGATGTTATATGTGCATAGCTGTTGTTGTAGTGTGAGATGTGATGTAGATATGCGTGAGTGGTGTGTGTGGTAGGCGAGGAGAATTTTAGGTAAGTGTTTCGTACCCACCGTCATAGACCCCAAAACAGGTGTCGTCGACATTGTACCTGCGGCAATATATGACTTGCCGGTGGACAGGTTCAGCCTGGCGACGCAACGATTTGGTATCTCTGTTCAGTCCACGACTGACATTCCTGGACTTTACTCACTCGCTGCTTATACTCGACGTCATCGCCCCTCTAATTTATTGTCTGACGTACACACGGTGCGCGACTTGCCTCGTGAGAAACTTATTCTACGACTAGCTTTTTATGTCAACATTCTGACTAGGGCTAGCGATTCGGATGTAGTGCCACCTATGTCGCTGTGAAGTTCAGACATAACCTTCAATTTATAGTTATAACCACGAGTCGCTAGGGTGAGCCATATTACGTAGATGACATCGACGTCTAAAGTGTAATGAGACAACTACGCGTGATAATTAACTATTGTTTCGCTGACAATCTTACATTATATAGAGACCTGTAGTATACTCTACGAGGAGGTATTCTTTTCGTAATAGACTCCAAACCAGACTTGGTGATATCTGAGTTGATACTCCGCGAACGTATGAGTAGTAACAACGTATTTTCGTAACTCTACTAGGAAAGAGTACAACAAGGTACTGTTGAGACCGACCACGAGAGCGTGATAGATCAGAAGGAGCGTCTAGACAGAGATAACGCTCGAGTCAATAGCCAGTACGAACTGCAATAAACAGGACCTCTTAGCGCGTGTGTAACACGGCCAAGTCGCTGTTTTTCTTTCTATTATACGCTTAGATATAACAGAGTAAAAACTAAAAAGAAATACCGATGCCTATTTATCGCACTGATAGAACTACTCGATACACGGCTCATAGACTCAAGTAAGCGACACAAGGGTGTCGTAACAAGACATATGGACTAACTAAAATATCTCAAGAGCCAGTTTCGAGATGTTTTAGTTCGAGTCTGTCGCTCTACCGTCATCCAGGAAGTGCATATAATTAACCATCCTTACCTTAACTCTGAATCCTTTGTAAAATCCTCTTTGATTGTAGTTTCTAACAACTATATACGCCAAACGAACTACATCTAAAGGAAGCACGCAACACGATGAGTAATTGGGTAATTGTGCACAGATAGAGTGTCTGTTACGGCTTAACACACCTGTCGGAACGATGGTGCATATCACAACTAAATGCGCTACTCATGTCCTATGTACTACACACCCCCAAAGATTCTCACACCAAATGAGTCCCTCTCTCTTCTAAGCCGTATCCGTCTTGTTTATTTCCTTAGTACTAAGTAACCTGTAAGTACAGAGACGGGGCGTTTTTTTCAGGACATTTACTCATGTATATCGTTTGCATCATATCTAATAGTAAGTATATTATGTAGATGCGAACAATATTTCTTACTCTATCTGCAAGTACTAAAGTTATGACTTTATAACAACATACTAAAGAAATTATGACTATAACATGTAGACGAAACCTACGTTTCGGTCCATGTATCCGTCGAATTAACTAGATTATACACTACTGCGGTGAGACGGAAGACATCGATTTCACACGTAAATAGACATTTTCCTTCCCCTACATCCCCGGAAATCAGCACAAAACATTCCGGTCAGTTAGGCGGTGCGAGGTAACCACATCACTCTCATCCGCCGCGTCAACGTACCACCCGTGCTCTGCGAATCGCTAGGGTCGGCGGCTCCGGCACGGGTGCAAGCCACGCTCGCCCAGTGAAGTGCCAGCTCCCTACCAACGGGCGCGTCGCAGCTGCGCCCTTGCTCTTTTATCACACATCCTTAGGACAACTCACCTCCCAAGTCCAAAGTTTGCATTGGTATGCTTAGCTAGCAGAAACAAGTTTAGCTTCCATTGTCCTGAATGGCAACTACGCACGATTACACTATACGCTCGAGTCTCATGCACGGGGTTCTACTACAGCGCGCATTCGTGGCCGCCCACGATCAACTTTACCTCCCGTCACTCCTGTAGCACGTGGATTCGGGCGTTTTCACTCTCTCTCGCGTTCTTTAACACATTGCCTAAGTTAACTGTCTCTAACGTGGGTAAAAGCGTTTTCTTGTTCTCCCTTGCCACTTTTCTGGTACTTTTTGCTCCTGTCCTATTCTCCTCTTCGAGTCTGTCTCCTGCGCGCCAATGTCCCCCCCAACATCTGTTTTCACGTTCTTCGCGTCCGGTCCACCCAAGAGAGGTTGAGGCCAACAGAGCCGCTGCCACGCTCGCAGTAGTATAAAGTACCAATAATTCGTCTTGTTAAGAGAAAGTTTAGTTGACTAGTTAAGAGTAACGACTGAAGCTAGTAATATTGGCGAGAACGTATTGAACTAAAATACAAGACAACAGGTACGAAGTACAATCTGGATTGGGTTGCCGAGATCTCAGTTCTGTATGTGGGAATACGACCGGAAAAGTGAACTAAACACCCTTGTGTCATTCATTGTAACGTCTTGCTCCTGGTAAATAACAAAATTTTGTCTACAATAACTACACCGAATCAACTACTTATTTACTATTGTAATTCTATGCAGACAGAATATCCGAAACTAAGAGGTCTCATGATAGACAATCAAGCATCCATCGTGAATATCGTAAATGTGGTACGACGTATTATTGTTACTCAGGAGTTGTCTTCGTGTCAGAGACAATAACACCTTGAATAACCAAAAGGCACACAGAAAGTTTGGGTTCTCGTATAAGGATCTCGATTTTCTCTAATAACCCGAGGTCCTGGTTAGTTGTCACTCGGTGAGCAGGTTTGATCTTCACGGAGAGAGAAAGTGCTGTTGGTTGTACTCTAATCGCATTTTTTCGATTGCACCGAGTTTTGTGTGCCCCATTCCGTTGTAAAGATGGTTATCCTTTACTAACGATGATTTATTGTCATGTTGAGAAATTTACATCAAAGAACTTAACTAAAGTTTGTTTAGATTGATTTTAGGTGTTCTAATCCCTCCAACCTTAGAAAGCCTTTCAGTCTATCATGGGATTCGTCTTCAGTCTCGCGGATCGTACAACAGGCATTCGGCGCATGTCTACACTACACCCGCGACACTCAACCCCGTCCCGTCAAGTCTCAAATTTATTGGGCGTGGGAGGCTCATAGAGGGAGTGAGTAACTCAGAACAACTTCAATGTCCATTTCCCTCCGTGTCTACCACACGTGTAGTGAGTAGGACAACGTCCGCCCCCGTCCCCGCCTACAGTTTCCGATTTCAATAGCTCCCTCACCCTCGTTACCTTGGACTACACTCCGTACTTATTCTTCTCTATTGATATCTACCCTGTCTGACTTTGTGTTTGTAGTGTCTATCATCCGTACAAAGTAGGTCGATTCACAAAACCACGCAACAACCGGTCATTACGGACTATCTAACTCGAAGGCGTCTTCCCTAGCGGATGCGTCCTCCTCCGCTAATTCAATGCTCCACTACGTAGACGAGGTACTAACAAGACATTTGCAGATGATGGGCAGTAAAGTTTCTCCTAGTGTCGCGGTGTTGTCAGTCTACGACACCGACCATTTTAGAATCTATTTAGACACCCCACCTGTGCTAATTGTTCCTGATTTGTGATCTCTTGACTCGAAATTTAGGAAGTCTACTTAGCAAACCAAAGCTAGTGAGGTTCCCGATGCGATTGAATGACGTTGTTTTTTTTATCAAAACTACAAAACTAGCGATTACAAAAGTAATTTAGTGGACAGACAGTGTGTACGCCTGGCTTTTGAAGTAAAAAATCTGTCAAATTATTACGTGCAAGCAGGACCAGGCGTATTATTTTCATAATGGTTCGATTAAGACGAGTATTACACAATCCATATGTGAGTTGTCACGGACCTCGCATGTCTTCGGTTGTAATTTCACGCGATCGTGGAAATATATAATGCGTTGAGCACGTCGTAATATCAATCGACATCACTCACGTATATTCCGATACTACAGATACCCCCGTCGTCACGACGTCTGTGTAGATTAGTTACCCTCTTCTGAATTAAATAGTGCCATAGCGGTACAGCGACTAAACGTTGTGTATGTAAGGTCTTATAATGTATAATATGGTAAAGAATATTTACACTTACTCTTCCTCCACACTTTGTGCGATGCTCCAGCAGCTTTGCAAAGGCCTGTCTGGAGAATCCCGGAGAGATGACCTTGAGCTCTTCAAAGGAGCTCAGGAGGTCCAAGGTGTAAAGTGTGGAAATACTGACCGAAGCTGGCCAGTATCCACTCTTAAGGAGGACTTTCAAGTCGGGGGTCCACTGCTGCTGGCAAGTTTGACAGACATATAGTGGCAGATGCAAGTCATAACGCCCTTGGAACAAGTAAATAAACATAATTAAGAGGGATGCACCGAATATTCGGCCACCGAAAATTATCGGCCGAAAATGGTTAAAAGTTATCGAAAAAATATCACCGAATGTCAGAGAACAGGGTTACGTTGATCATACTCCGCATATTTGTCGGGGTGTTTTGATTTCAAGTGGTGGAGTAATCCCGAAGTGGTGAAAGTCTTTGCAGTTAAACCCCCTCGAGAAATGTCAGCTGAACACGTTTTACAAATTGCAATCCGCGCCTCTTTCTCTGATATTTTGAAATATCTCCAAGCGGCAGACATGTTGGCTGCCTGTGAGCCAGCCGCGAGCATGGTCGCGCGCCGTGCTTGTCGCCATGTTTTGATTACGTCATCACAACAACACGTTAGGTTACCAAACTTATAGGTGCATTTGTTGTTGTTGAAGGCCTGGCTGTTACAGTCTTTATTTACACTATTTTGTTGTAGGCCTACTGGCCTAGATGTTTATGTAGTTTTAAAAAGAAAATGCACTTGACTTTGAATTAATGTACAGTATGCATTCAAAAGTGCTGAATAAATGTTTTATGGACCCATAATAGTGATTATTATTTAAGTTAAGTTTTGCCATAATCATGTATTTTTCCATAATCAGGGAGCTGAACAACATTGGTAAAAAATGTATACATTATATATATATATATATAAATCATTTTCGGCCTTTCGGCATTCGGCCAACTGTTTCCTATCTTCGGTATCGGTTTCGGCCAAAAATTTCCCATTCGGTGCACCCCTACTATCCAGGCCTCGTCCTATATGTCCTATAATCTTCTCTCCTGATGATATTGTTCTATTTCCAGTTTACCAATATTTCAATTGTATTTTCAGTGTGACAAATACAGGAAGGGAGTCATTGACGGCTCGGCCTGCAGCAGTCTGTGTGACAAAGACACGCTCTACCTGGGGAAGTGCTTCACCATGAAGCCCAAAAGCCAGGTCCGTTTTTAATATTTCAATAAATCAAACAATCCTCTACAGACTGCTTGTTGTTCAAGGGGTTGTTTTTTAGATATTTAAGTGCGTTTGTTCTGTCGGATGAATGTGCATCGGTAGGTTCTCGTTCTTCTCCCATATGAAATGTCTGTATTCTCACTGTAATGCAATATTATGAAATATAAAAACTTGGTAACTTGCCTCACTCCCTCTTCCTCGTCTTGCAGTTGTCATGCATTAGAACCCTGCTGTTGACTGTGCCCTGCTTCAACACATTGGTGTTCAAGTTTGCTTATAGTGTAAAACGTCTTAAAATGTGTTAAATGTTATTAACGATTTAAATACAGTATGAACAATTAGGGCTGTCACAAAGCCCGACATCACAATCTATAGGAAATACACTGCACCTCATACGACGAGTATATTCATTTGACCTGACACATTTCTATAAGGTGTACTCTGGGACCTGGGGAGACTTGGAGGGAGTCATTAAGTGCCAGATGGAGGAGGCTCCTCATTATGATTTGGGAAATGCGATGCAGCACAGGAAGGAGTCTGCGGCCTTCAACCAGCCCACCAAGGGGACATCTGTGGAGAGGTTCAGAGAGATGATCCTCAACCACCTAAAGGTCAGGAAGCCTCCATCTAACAAAATACAATCCAACATGGAGGGTGATTAAAAATGGTTTTAAAACGTTTATTTCTTGACAGTCTAAAGTGGTGGATCAGGCCAACCTTGCAGATCTGGCAACACAAGTCCTGTCCATAACAGACGCCAACAAAGACGGCCACATCTCGCTGCCTGAGGCCCGCTCCACCTGGGCTCTGCTGCAGCTCAACGAGTTCCTGTTAGCGCTGGTCCTGCAGGACAGAGAGCACACGCCCAAGCTGCTGGGCTTCTGTGGAGACCTGTATGTGATGGAGAAGGTCCCGTACTCACCCCTGTACGGGATCAGTCTGCCCTGGGTCATGGAGGTGTGGATCCCGGCCGGTGTGCGCCGCAGCATGGACCAGTGGTTCACCCCCTCCTGGCCTCACAAGGCAAAGATCTCCATCGGACTGCTGGAGCTGGTGGAGGACGTCTTCCACGGAACGTTCGGCAGCTTCCTCATGTGCGACGTGAGCGCCACCAGGTTCGGATACAATGAGCGTCACGACCTGAAGGTGATGGACGCAAGGTACATTGTTCCTGAAGCCATTTTCCAAGAAAACATTAGACAGCAACGATGCGATGTGGATGAGGATTGTCTCTACGGGGCAGACTGCCTCACTTCCTGTGACCTCACCAAGCACCGCTGCACCCCCGAGGTCACCAGGCCCAATTTAGCCAAAGCCTGCGAGGCCCTGAGGGACTACACTCTGAGGGGGGCCCCGGCTGATGTGAGGGAGGAGCTGGAGAAGCAGCTGTACGCCTGCATCGCTCTGAAGGGTTCCTCAGAACAGATGGAGATTGAGCACTCACTAATTCTGAACAATCTCAAGACTTTGCTTTGGAAGAAAATCTCTCATACGAAAGACTCCTAAGTGCTGAGAGGCACGACAACCATACATATATGTTTTTAAATATTGTACAATCGTTACATAAGTTTAGTATTCACCTTATATCCCTTTGACATGTGTAACTGATGGTAAACCCTGAAGCTGTCAGGCATGGTGACTTTATTGAATTAAACAAGTAATCTTTGTCAGTACTGGAGCAACATATTTGCACATTTTTGAAACAGGGAAATCAATAAATTTGACAAATGCAACACCTGGATAGTGAGATCTTGCTTTACCTCTTTGCAGTGCAGTCTTAAGTTTGAGGGCACTTTAAACTGTTATTCCACTTGTCTTTGCACGTACTTACCCAAGTTCTAAAAGTTATGTCGGTTGCAGAAACTATTTCATTGTCAATCATGAAAACTATGGATGGCCAAAGGAGAAATCTAAAATACAATTTTATTCCAACCCAGATTTAAAAAAGAGAAAAGTTATGAGATGAAATGTTCAAAGTGGTATCCTACTGTACACAAATGTTTAAATTATATATACACAGTACGTATAAGATCTGAAAAGACTGTCACCTAATGTTCGATTCATGCAAGTAACACTGAAGTTAAAATGACATTCACTCTTAACCGGTTGGTTGGAATTGGATGCCAAGTTTAGTTGCATTCATTTATGAATCCCTTTGTGCTTTTATAGCAAGCTAATCAGTCTATAAACCATAGTGTTTAGTGGTTAAACAACAGTACTGTAAAGATTTCCCTTTAAAGGGCATCAAGAAGCCCCAGACACTGCTGTAGTTTACAGAAAGGACACAAGAGGGTTGGATTCTTTTTCAATAGATTTATTAGAACAAATCTTGATGTGTGGAACGGAGCAGAGTGACCCCTCATTCTGGATCCTCCTGTTCCTGAGCGCGGAGGAAGCTGGCCTTCTTCTGGGCGACACGGTCTTTCCTCTGGGCCAGGGAGAGCTTGGCACGGTTCCACCTGTCATAACAGAGGCACCATTAGCATTTACAGGCTGTTCTAAGTGTTTGTGTTTTCCAGGTGTCTTAAAAGTTTCAAATAGCCAACACTTGGCACATGTGAATATTTCATCCACATTTTAACAGTGTTTCTCAAAATGTCAGCATTTCTCACCTCTTCTTCTTGACATCCTTGACTGGCTTCTTTTCGTGGACTGGGTTTTCACGAATGGCAGCTTGAGCCTTTTTGTACATTTCCTCGATCTGAAAGACATTTCCAGTCAAATGCTTGTCCAAGTGTTAACTGAACATAATTCATTCTTTACACATACTAGCTTTCTTAAACCTTTCACACAAATTCTGTACTCCCAAATATTTAAGCTCAATGTATATGAAAATATGTTTTTTGCAAATGTCTGTTTATTGAATAATAAGACATGTATTGTGATTGGTGGATTTATACACCAACAAGTCCACAACTTTTTATTTTGAGGATATCTTTCGGCTGTCATTCTGATTCCCGTTTATCAGAATGTATATTCTATTGCAAAATGTAGGAGGAAGCCACTCTACAGTAAGAGGTTCAATGGCTGAATTGAAAGCTAGTTTAAATGTCCAAAATGTATGAAATAAAGTGGCATTGACCATACTAAATTCATAAGGGTTTGTGGCTTATTTTGCAGAGTCAAAGGCTGAAATTCCTGTGCCATGACCCAGATCTTTCTTATGAGGAATTGCCAATGCCAATGTGAAATCTGCCACTAATGATAAATAGCTCTTCAACCAGGAAATAATAAGTTCACACACGAGCCAGTCCTCAACATCACATTTCTCCCAACTCAATAACACCCCCTACCTGCTGAATAAGTACATTGTGGACAGGCAGTTTAGTAACAGTGCATGAAAAGGACTTACCGCATCAGGGGCAACTCCGTTCTTGATGAAGCGGGAGAACTGCTTTTTGTAGGCGTCCTCGTCTTCCTCCATCAGGTAGCTCATGTACTCGGACACGTTGACGCCCATGATGTGCTTGCGGTGAACCTCTGCGTTGAACTCCTTGCTCTCTGTGTCATAACCAGGAAAGCGCTTGGTGCTGGAGAGAAAAATAACAAAAAAAAGTTCAAGCCCAGCTAAATCAACTCAAGGTTTACATGAAAAATTACAAGACATCCAATTAGAACCTCCGGACTTAATATCATGACATAAGTCAAGGCACAATGAACGCATCACTGCTTTATGGCTCGTATAGGTCATCATTTCTTACTTGTGTATCATCAAAACTAAGTGTAAGATCATATCAGTACACTTCAATATCACAATGTTGTATTATACCGTATCGTTTTTCGAAAACAGCAAACAGTGGAAAAGTAGTGCCGTTTGGTGTTATTGTAACGGAACAGTTTTACTGAGATTGTGCTGTTTTTACTATAACAGTATTCCTAAAATGGGATTTGACTAAAACGCATTCAATCGCAAATGCGAGCAACGCATTGAGCCGTAAACAATGTAACATGTTAGTATGGCCGGAAATGAAAACGCCATCTAAATGTGTATTCTGACATATCACACCCTTTTCATTATAACAGGCTGTCAAACTGCCACGTGCCATTTTCAACTTAAGAATGCAAACAAACAGTATCGACCGCATTTAAACTAATCTGCGAGTGTAAACGGAAAACCCACAAGCTGATCCAGAGGCATACTATACATAGTCTGTACAGATGGCATGAAATGGTGTTCGAACAGGAAACTGATCCTCCTTTATAGATATTTTAACTGCTATTCAGTTTACTTTAACACCTGAGAGAAATCATATAGTATTTTCTCTCTTTAGATTTACACTTTGAATGTCTTGTCAGAACCGTCAGTATCAGAATATCAACATGACATTTCATTGTAAACTGTCCAATAGGTTACAACAGATTTTGCAAACATAAGTGAAGTGTTTTTAAAATCTCAGACAAAGTCTTGCATGTGCCTTTGCTAGAAGAACTGACAGGATGTGTGGCCTGATGGAACTGAAGGCCTCTACACAACAAGTCACTTTTAATTTAAACATTTCATCCATTCATTCAACTGCATACCAGATGAAACATTCACTGTGCAAATACTTTCCATTGTCAATGTCTTCACTTTCCCCATCCCTAAGAGCAATGCCTGTTCTCCTAGTCTCCTGAAATCACTAGTTTTTACCCCATTGTGGTGTGTCTGATTGGGGAATTCAAGCTCCTCTGACCTTTTTTTAAAGAATACATTACATGTAAAAATTGGAGTTTAAGCAGTTCGTAGGCATGGGGAAAACCAACCATAGTGAAAAAGCATTCTGAAAACATGTCAGAATTAAATTAAATAATCTATAAAGCCAGCATATCTCCATCAAATAAAACAAATCTCATTCAGGAACAAAACCTCATTCCACATTGCCAAGCAAAACAATCATGTGACAGGAAGTTACCTGTGGGGGATGGACAGACCTCCATCCACGGCCCCCTTCACGGCACCGAACACCTTGTTGCCTGTAGTGGTTCTTGCGAGCCCAGCGTCCAGGTAGCAGGTGAACGCGCTTGGCTGACCATCGATGCTCTCCACGTTGAACTCATCGCCTGTCACCTCCACCTGGCCTTCATACACCTTATCCAGGCCAAACTTGTTCAGAAGCTGAGGACAGAAATCAGTCAAGGTAAACATCTGGTTCAGCAGACAACTTCTATTTATGTACTAATCAAAACACATCTTCTCTTCCTGGTGCCAATTTTTAGATGTAATAAAGAGTGGAGGAATAAGTTCTTAAAACTAAAATGTGTTTTTGGGTCGAAGCCAGGAATAAGGTCTGTGGTTAAGACAAGCTGAAGTGATTATGTCAGTAAATACCCCACAGGTGAATGGCTTCTATGAGTCATACAAATGGTGGATAACAACAAGTAACTGAATAGACTACTAAACGTCCTCACAGCGACACGAGACAGCGTTTAGCTTGGTTTAGAGGATGTGCAGCCATGCGTCTGTGATGTGGTTTGTTCATAGTCCAACATTAGCTTTCCTAGTGATTTCATGAACACTACAATAAATCACAAAGTAATGTTATTATTGGGATGCCGACTTCCGGGGCGGCCTACAAAAATCCATCATCACTGCACCACTATGACTGAACTCCTTCTAAGAGCTCATCTGGCTAAGTCTCCCTACAACATTTGGAGGTGACTATGATGCAGAGAACCAGCATGTATAACATGTTGATACTTACTCGGCGGGCCAGCAGCAGACCAGTGCAGTAGGATGCTGCGTAGTTCGTCAGACCCACGGCAATGCCGTATTTTGGGAGCTCGTGTGAGTAGGCAGCACAGACTATCATGTCACCCTCAATCTTTGCATAGGCGATCTGCAACACAATCACAAGTGAACATGAATTTAGGGCACACTTGAACATGTGGATTGAAATGGATTGCAAAAGTCTTGACCATTGTTCTACAGAACACAGGGGATGTTCTATATAACCTTTGTTGGGTGATTTCTTCCCCAGAAATGGCAATGAACAATATTCGAAAACTATTTTACACCACTGATGATCTAATGGTTGCAAGTATAACTTTTCAAAGATAACTGCATTTTTAACCCTTCATTTCAGACATTGGAACATGAACAAAAAACATGATCTCTTGAGCTCTGTTAAAGAAAATGTCCACACAACGCTTGAGTCCTAAAATTGTGAGGGAAACCACACTAGTCTCACTACAGGTTGATGACATCCTTTTGTAAACACAACAGAGTAGAGAACTGATAGCCATGTTTATAAATCTTGCATTAAGTCAAAACATAACTTTCAGGTTATGTCCATAGAACTTAGATTAGGCCATACTATAATTGTAAGTCATGTAATGTTGCAGCATTCAAACATCCAAATAGCATTTTATAAAAAGCCTTATTGATTCGACAATGCATGTTGCTCTCAAGTTTAAGTGAAAAGCTATTAGCATTGTCTTCCATAGAACTATAGGTATTGGAGTCAATACAAGCATGTACCCATCTACAAACATAGCCCAGTTGCTTTGAAATAAAAACTGGATTATCTCAGCACGTGCTCACCTGGCAGCAGATGTCCCTGTTAGAGAAACGGACAATCAACCTGTACTTGGGGGTGTTGTACTTGTTCTTATCTTGTACAACCAGGCGCTTGCGGGCAAAGAAGTCGGTCTTTCCCTCTGGAAGTAAAACATACACATTAGCATACAATACCCAACATTAGTGGGGGAAATGTAACTGTCATATGGGGTCTTACCTCTCCTCCTCCTGAATTTGACCTGGTACCTCTTGAAGTAGGACTTGTTCTTCACAACTTTTACAAAACCCTGCAAGAAGACATGCATTGATTTAGTATCAGGGACTAACCAAGCAGTCACAAAAGGTAACTTAACGTCAGTTTAGTGCATTAATTTGTCCACAGTAGCTGGCTGTCACTGTCATTTGCGTTCCGGTAGACCTGGCTAACATTAGCTAGCTTGGCCAATGAAAGTGAACGAGCTGTTAGCACTAACAGCATAGTTCGCGATAAGCAAAGGGAAAATAGTTAGCTGCATAAAATGGAAATACAGGGAGTTTAAACGTAAGGGTCTAACTGGTCACAACATTGGGAAAATAAGACAAGTAGAACACAGGGGAAAGGAAGCAGTGAGCTTGTGAGGGAAGCCATTAGGCCACGTTTAAGCAGACCCGGGTGAGCGTTAGCATGACTTAATCTATCTTCATCAGAACACCAGAAGTATGTTTCAAAATATCTGACACCACACAGCACATAATGTATGTCTTACGTATGCATGAAGACACATATTGGGATGAATTACAAACCATTTTTGCAGTATTTTTGTCTCCTTATGAAGGAGCCCGGAGCCAGAGACTGGGGCTTGACTCCACTGCACTGGAAAAAGGAAGAGGAGCGTGCGCATGCTCCGTAAATAGCGTGTCACAGGATGAGTCGTAGACACGCCATGCTGCACAGGATTTACAACTCTGCCCCTAGCGAGCTGGAGCAGTCCTTACACTTATGAAAGCTCTGGTGATAACTGCCCATGACTAAAGTGACGCCATCGAAGGCAGAGAAAATGTTTACTTTTTGAGAACCAGAAGTGTGCTGAGGTAATTTGACAAATTGTACACATACCCATTTTTAAGCAGTAATACAGCTGCCAAACAAAAATGTATTGACTAACAAGTAAAAGACAGCCTTCTCAAATTGTAGTTCAGAAGAGATGTCAAGTGTCATGACACCTAAGGCCATATACGTTCACCCAGCGTTCACCCAATCACACATTTGTACACATATGAGACTGCCATGCCATATAGGGTTCCAACTGCTCGGGAGGGCCAAGCAATCTTGAGCAATTGAGGGTTTGCCCAAGCTCAGAATCAGAATCAAAATACCTTTATTAGTCCCACTTGTACTACATTGTAGTACATTGGTAAATGTCGCCTACTTACTGTAGTTACATTCCAACATTGCTGGTCAAGGTCTCGTATTTTAGTCACATTAACATTTTAACGCCATGTTTTTTGTTTTTTTTCCTGTTTGAAATAATATGGGCAGAATTGCTGGGGAGTTTTCAATGCCATTCAACACTACCACCTTTTACATGATGTTATTGGGTTTTTTAATTTTTAGTAAGTAATAGAGGTGTTATAATGATTTAAAGGACAATCATTGATCAAGTAAGGGGTGGGAATTAATAAGCATTTGCTTCCTGCTACTCCCTTTCGGACACATATGATTTGTTATCATTATTAATATGAAGACTTTTTTTTTGTTTTTTTTGTTGAATATACAAATATTACCTTGAATGTGGATAAATACTGTATTTAACAATACAGTATTCTGTTTTTCACATTTGTTATTTTTTATTTGTTGTTTTTTAATCTGTTCGAAATAAAGAGTGAAAATGAAAAAAAAAGAAAAACTTGTTGGACATGTTACAGTTAAACATAAGTTTAGATTAAAGATACGAATTATGGCAACATTTCGTTTGGATGTTTCAGTTTCAAGGTCCTGCACTTGAACAAGTTGGCTCACACTGGCATGGCTTATATTGGAGTCTTCATTAATATAATTTGAAACGATAAGTAACACTGTTCTTAAAAACTATGAGAAACGAATACAGCTCATTCCTGCGATTGTTACAAAAACACAATAATACAATAATACTTTGAAACAATCCTGGCTGTTGATCAGCACATTTTTCTACTAATAGTCAAATTCACGCAGAGATGATAAAGCGATGGCTAGACTACTGTAATGGTTAGGCTAAAATCTCTAGTGGCTGACAATGTATAATGTCTAACATTAATAGTATACATCTCCTATATCCTTGTTTCATTTTTCTTGATTTCTTACAAAATAAAGCTTGTATCACTGACTCTTTGAAATGAACTCTCCTTCTTAGCAGGCATTTCACTCACCTGTGTTGATGATGAATATCTTTCAGATCAGCCAATATATTTGAAAAGTCAAAATCAAATTCCTATCAGAATTATACAATCATACCTGAGTTGCAGATTAAATCAATGTGATGCACATTGTTGCTACATTTTGCAAATGAAAACAGATATAATAATATTTGTGTTGATAGTGCAGCAGATAGTTATATTGGTGATATTCAAAGATTGTATTCACGTCTATGTCTGCAGTTATAACCGTCCTAAATCATGTTAGGCAGATGTGGGAGAAGTACTCAGATCTTGTACTATATTGTAGGAATATTCTGTTCTGCAATCAAAATGTTACTCAAGTAAAAGTACAAAGGTATTAGCATCAACATATACATAAAGTAGCAAAAGCAAAAGTATTTTATAATGATTGATCATGAAAGTGTTCTCAAAGCTGGTAAAGGTGCAGCTAGTTTGAATGACTGTATACTGCAGGGTAGCTTGTGAATTTACTCCAGGTGGAACTAAAGTCTGATTTAACACTTGATTAGATTTCACATCATTCATCCACATCTGTGAAGTAACTAAAGGTATTCAATACATGTAGTGGAGTAAAAGTACACCATTTACCTCTGAATTTTAGTGAAGTAGAAGTACAAAGTACCTTAAATGTTAAGTTGTTATTGCCTGTTGCAGCAATAACAACTTAATCATCCATAAATCATAATTAAAAAAACATACACAAAATCGATTTTTCATGATCCATCAGAGCATTGGTTATCTTAAAAAGGAGTTTTATCATTAAAACATTTGTTAAGTTTTAGAGACACACTCAAAGGTGTAATGTCAATATAATGCAATTGAAGTGTAAACTGGGCTAAATAAAGTGACTTTTTAGTCTGATTACATCATCAAGGTTGCATATAATCTGTTACTACCCCGCCCTTACCTGATGGAATTAAAGGTGTATATAGCACAATGTATCTGGGCATATGGGTGTGACTGCAAGCAAAAATCATCAAGGTGAAATAAATCCTGAAAAAGTAACTTGTCCTTTTACTGTTAACATTTATCTGCATTCATGTTCAGTCCATTTGATTCCTTTTAGGTGCTTAGTTCACGCCTTGCAGGCTGAGATGTGCTTATTGTGACACTGTGACAGTCACATACAGTGGCCATGGTGTTGCCATGTCTCCCACCACGTCAGTTGCTTTTCAGCTATGAACAGAGGAGTGTCCAACAAGCGACAAAGGATATGCGTCACTGCTCCTTATGTGAAACCTGAAGAGTAGGTTTTAGGACTGTGTGGTATGTGAGTGAAGGCAGTCTGCTCCGTCACATTTTCATCAGAACACTTTTGCCTCAATGTTTACCTCATCATGAGTTTCTGTTGATATCTCTCGCTCAGTGAAAGTCAGCTGTGTGAACCTACCAAACCGAGCAAAGCGGCTCTAAGCCAGTTTATAGTTGTATTAAAGGCCTGGATACTTCGCGTTTTAGTTTAACCTTTATTTTTTAAAGAGCTAACCACAGGGTAAAGGTGGAGTTTTTCTAGATAGATTAATGGTATTTTCGGATTCTACGAGCACTGAGACCACGGTGTTCAGACTTCCAGAAAGAATTGTTTCTCTCAGCGATGAACCTGAGGTAAGTTATTAAAGATCAGATATGAGATAAGTGTTACTACACCTATAGAGCTACAGGAAGCCTGAGAAAATGTTCCTTGACTCAAGTCTTAATAATGTGCTGGATGAAACACACAAGATTGTACATTATAAGAACTTCAATTGGCCTGTTAATGTCTCAAGTGCAGTTATATGTAATCAGAGATGTGTTGTTAAAACGATTAGCAGGTATTGGGTGCTAAGATGCTTCATTTACTCGGCTTCTCTTTCTGAAACAAATGGTCTTAATCCACAGATCTTTTGTTTTGCTATGGAATAAACACAACAGATTGAGGACATTAACTTGTCTAAGTCAAAGTCAATTTATTGTCAATTTCTGGTGTGTAGGGAGATTGAAACGTCCTTTCTCACCTCCTCTCATCTAACTGATAAGACACAACTTTATTTGACATCATCAGTGACTAACAGAATAGCAGAAAAAGTAAGATTATTTTAATAAGCAAACTATAATAGGAAAGTTGAATTGGACATAACATTTAATAGTGACAAAAAGTAGTATTGCACATGATACTGAAAGGTATTATTGCACATTATATTGAAAGTCATATTGCACATGTTATTGAAAAGTATATGTCATTCCATCTACGATCGATTCATTCATCTGGTAATGTTTTTTTAATCAATCTATTCCATAAAATGAAAAAAGAGGTGACACCCAGCAGAGTAGAAAGTTAAACAGGGAAGTGCAGGTGGATTTTGTTTGGACCTTTGTGTGAATATGTGTATATTTTTCTGCATGTGGCCCTCAGTGAAAAATGTTTGGACACCTCTGCCATAAGTAAAATATATGCTGTCATGACCTCTGGATAACCCACAGCAAATTCACTTTCATATACTTTGATTGTTTAAGCTATTTTAAAGGTACAAACATTCCATGGTTCTATCTCAGCAAGAGAACATATTTGCTGTTTAGCTATTATAATAATAATAATATAATAACGTTAATAATTGTAATCCATTACTATTAATTAGACAAAACAAACATTGTGAAAGTGTCACATTGGTCTTTGGGTAATTATGACAGCATTTCTTACATTTATCACTAAACACTAAAACACTAAACCAATAAATCACTAAAATAATGGGGAAAATCCTCAGCAGAATAATAATTTTACTTAAGGATATTCTGTCTCTGCTTCCACCCCTGACCCAATCCCAAATACCTCTTTTTGTTTAAACTATAACTCCTCTTACACATGGAATGGAAATAAGTAGTAACACGTTTTGAAGTGCAGTTGGTATCGTGAACACTTAGTGGCAGTGTTTTGTCAGGTTTGAGCAGTAAGCGCTTGCGCAGTGCGATGTAAACATTTGGTAGGCCGCCGCCGTCTGTCTGCTCTGCAGACTGTGTACACGTATTATACGCTGCATGGGCTGGACCGGAGAGTCAATGGGAACTAGCTAGCTAACCCAACACAGGCTAGCTTTCTAGTAGAAAAACCTAGCTATGCTAACTTGGGAAAATATAGCTAATGTATTCCGATAAAGTGTTAGGAAGCCGGTCTTTTTCTTTTAAAAGTGGGTATATAAGTTTGTGCATGGGAAGCAGAGGACAGTTGGTGCGGCTGGTGAAAAACATTTCAAGGTAAAGGCTGTTCTTGTTTTCTCGGGCTATGACTAAGTACTGGAATAACCACTTACTCATAAAACGAAGCGAAGTTATCTCTATCAGTCCAAGTGTATGGCATGACATTTCATCTATAAAGAAGACTGTTTCAAAACCTAACTTTTGAATTTGTTTTCTCGGAATATCCGCTTGTTTACACTGGTTGTCAGTTCTGTCATTGAAAGCTTTGCTATGTGTTGTACAACTAGTTAATTGGATGGCTCCGGGCTCCAGCTATCGCCTGGTTTTCCTGCTTGGCGATGTGAAATGACTCTATCGATATAACTTTATAATCCTACTCTTACCCTCGTCGAGCTAGCCGACGTTAGAGCCTTCTGGAAGAGGACAGTATACTGTTGTATTTGATGCTAGATGATCTCCATTTCAGCTCACAACACCAGCGAGCCAAATAAGGAGCAGAGACTTCTCTAATGCGTCCGCCCTGTCTGCTGTAAACTAAACATGTTTTTCATATTTGCTAGCATGATGTGAAGCATATAAACCTCTCAGCAGTGGCATGGGCTGCATTCAAGCCAAGGATATACTTAACTCCAACTTCGGGAAAGTTACTTACAAGTGACAACAACGCGGCTTTGTGTACAATAACCCCGCAATATAACTCTTACAACTGCAGAAAGTACTTATTTCTTGACTGTCATAAATAATGACAGTAAACAGCGGCAGGTCTGACAAATATAAGCGAGATGGATAAGGAGTTAAAGAGAGAAAATGGAACGCTCAGTGTAGGCCGATGATGTTATGGAATAGTGTTTCTTGATGATCATGACTATAATACTGTAACTCACAGCATGTTGGGCCATCCAATGGGGAACATTGGATGTGGTATCAGAGCTAAATGGCTCTCCAAAAACAAATCATAATGTTTAATGGGCTGAGTGAGAAGTGTAGAAACTTATTGTGCTGTGACTTATGTCCAATGTCTATTAAGCAATCAAGTAGAACATTTCACAGTCTTGCCAAACAGATATTCTCAAGTAAAGTGCTAGTGCTTGTTAAATGTAGCTCATCATTTGAAGGCATTCTGTTTCACTACATTTGTGCAACTGATTCAAACCTGGATGAATTTAGTTAAATGCATTTCTGTTCTCAGAATGTATAGTGATTAAATTAGCAGGGTTTTGTATGGGTTTAAAGGGAGTTTCCTGGTAGGACATACCTAGATGCTTCTTTATTATCCTCACTTTTCAAGGTGTCAATTCCAAACCTTCTGTTAAGACTAGAGATGCAGTTAAAACGGAAACCTCCAGAACCTCAGGATTGGCATGCATTACCCAAGGGAGTTATAATGCATCTTTTGGGACAAATAACAGGACAGATGATATACTATTCAAACGGTATACATATTTGTATTATTCACAAATAGTTTCAGAATGGAACAATAAATACATAAGAAACACTTTGAGAAGCTGTCGTAATACCTGTCAAATTGACTGAGAACAAGTCAAATAAGTGAGCTTTTTTAGTACTACCACTTATGGGCATACTGCTAAGAGATAGAAGGAGTCCGTTGAAGAACAGTTTCTGGTTTAGACAATGGAGATAACACGCACAGCTTCGCACAATGATAAGTAGTTGGTGTTACCATAGCTTTCTCTCCAACAAAACACACTAGCAAATGCTGACATTTATGTGTTATTGATTGAAAAATACAATTCACAACACATTACTTTAAGGCTACATTTTTGCAGTGCAAGTTTTGCAGGCAAATTGTAAAATAAAAGCTAGTGGTTGTAGCCCTCACTGTGTGACAGCGTAATTAAGAATAGCCTTTAGAAAGACCTTTGAAATGCTGATTGTACACTTGGAAAAAGTGAGCTTCTCCCGGTATGTGGAGTGAAAGGCCTTTCTTCTACCCAAGTGTTAGTGTGTCATTGTTGGACAGTCAGGCCTGTGTTTTAATTCCCTCTCACTCAGCAAGTGGACAGCATGTTTCCCTGAAGATAGTCATGCTCTTTCCTGCTGGGACAGACATTTTTGTGCTTATTCATCGCCTAGAAATGGCACGTGATGAAAGAGAAGTAAAAGTGAGAACATTAATTATTGTATGACTGTTATTAGCACCTTTTAGACTTCTACATGTGTCCTGGCTTAAAAGTTGATTCACATGTTTTTGCTTGGTTCTGCACTTTGAGATATATGTGAGGTGCTGTGCATTTTGAATAAGGAAGAAAATGCTTCTGCCTTTGGTCTTTTTCAGTTCCCCAATCGTCTCGAAACTGTATCGCCGAGGCTTTCTTCTTGCCTCGCTGTGGGTTCCATTAGCTATGCACACTGCATCTCAGGGCCCCTTTGAGTTCTTTGGCAAACAAAAGCAGAACAAAAAAATCTCTGTATCCACAATTGATAGGGAAACCTTGCTTCAGTTGGCTGGACTTGATAGAAGGAATGTTTTCTAAAACCACCTGGACATAGACACATCCCTCAAATCATAACCTTCCCTGCCCGCCCTGTCCTGCTCATTCTTTGCTTCCCTCAGGTTTTTCTTGTCTGCTAAAGACTGTAGTAAGACACGGTGTTGTTTTTCTTCAGGAAATCAACAAATAAGGTTAATTAGGTTCATCATTGATCAGACTGAAAAGTGCACGCATACATAAGGCAAGGTGGAGGCCTTACCTCTGCTGGGCTCTGCATGGTGTTCAGTCCTCAGGGCCCTCTTTTCTCTCCCCTGTTAGTCCTGCATGGCAGCCCACATTGGGGGGTCGTTCTGTGAAGAAACCTCCGGCCCTTCCATTTCCCCTGGGCTTTCAAAGAGACACATTACAGATGCAATGATGGCTGGCTCAGTGGTGCAGAGCAGAGCTGGGTAGAGAGAGGAGTCTTTTTATGCACCAACTGTTTTTCTATTGTTTGCACATTACTTACATTACTGATTATTTTCACAAAGAATATGTAGTTCATTTTTTATATTCATTTAAGATTGAATGATTTCATAAATTATCTCTAACTGGATCAGCGTGACTTTAAAGGTGGGTTAGGTAATTTTGGAGAAACCAGCTCGAGTGCGCTAGAATTTGAAAATACACAGCCGGAAAAAATCTGCCACTTCCTTACAGAGCCCCTCCTCCAACACACACCTTCTTTAGTTATTTAGTACTTGTTAATGAAGTCACACTCTTCTGTGATATAAGCAAATGAAATGAACTATTGAAGTGGACTATAGTTTAGCCTTTAATTTTTCTGCTGTTGAAGTGGTATGTGCTGATCAACATCTGAGTCAGTTTGCACTGCACACACCCGCTGATAATCTGTCTTCGTGCAGAAGCGGCATACGTCTGTTACTGCTGTGGATCCTGTTATTATTTGTAATTACAGTCATGTGGGTAAATGCAACTTGCATTTTCAGAATCATCATTGTTGTGGTATCATTGGTGTGAGCAGTGGGCTGGGTTGTAAGGGAGACAAATCAAATCTGTTTTTTTCCTCACGTTACCAGAGACATATAAACAGATTTCGTCTGTAATATGGACAAATCATTTTTTAGATTGTTTAATTATACTTATAACACGGTGATCCACAAGGTATTAGGAAGTCAAACTGAAACTGTCAAGAAATCCTATCTGGAGATTTGTATTGTCCTATTTCTTCCTTCATTATTGATAAGTCTTGTAATACAAATCATTGAAGTGAGGTAAGGGATCTGTTAGTTTAGCTGTTCTGTCATAGTGTTGATTGAAGGTCAGTAAATACGCCCCCCCCCCCCCNCCCCCACAGTGAAAGCTCTGGAACAGGGTGTTAAAAACAGTAACAAAAACAAAACAGTAACAATGTGGTGTACCCCCACTTCCTGTTTCCATGTGGTAGAATGTGTAATGTTACATACAGAAGCTTTTATGATGCATACATTCAAATGTTTTTACTATATTTGCCATGCAGTGTATTCATAATTAGAGATGCACAATATATATATTGGGTTGATAAATCATCATAAGGGGAAACTTATATTATAATGTATACACTAACAAACTAATGTATTATTGGAAAATAATACAAAGCCAAATTGCTTTTGTTGGCTTAACAAGTGCAGCTTCTAACAGCAATTGTGGGTTAGCAACTTTACAGTTGGTTTGCGGATCTGTCAATAAACACAGAGAAGAAGAAGACAAGCACAGTACACTGACCAAAGAGCAGCATGTTGTTGCCTTTGTGGACCATTTCTCTTTCCAGAGGAGATATTCACTTGGAGTTTGCAAAACAAGTTTTTTTTTAATGTGTTTCACTTGATAAAACAAATGAACATTTAAAGAGCTTTCTTTGTTTTTGTTGTGTTCGCAATAGTGATGTCACTCAGATTGATTTGGTTAGACCTATGAGATATCAAATGTCTTTCTTTGCTCACTACATCTTAGCCTTTCTGTCCCTCAGGAAGGGGTGCATAACTAAAGGCTTTGAACTCAGTGGTCTTATGGCATTGGTCATGAGAAGCTGGTATTTATCGGTTATCACCTGTAAAAAGATTGATTATAATATTCAGAATTGTAATGTTGCCTATATTACAGTAGATGGATCATATTGATGACAACAGTCCTCATATTGGTATATAACCTAGGACGCCACACTTATCGATTATATTTCATAGCCACTAGGCTTCCAGGAAACCTTGTAGACTGTTACTTGTTTGATTAAAAGAAAAATACCATATCATTATTTGTTTCGGTTGCCGAGACATACTCTCTCTAAAGGGAAATAGAATCATCTCTAGAAATATTCATCAACTAAAAACTTGATTCCTGGCTTTTTGTGCTACGGGAGACACAGCATTTCTCACATATATGTTCAAATGTGTGATTGTAGCTTTCATTCAGTGTAAAAAAAAATAGTATTGCTTTCTTTTTAAGTAATATTTTTATTTAAAGTGAATCAACTACAATATTGCTCTAGCTTTCACCTCTACTGTGTGGTATCAGCACAGCTACTCAGTGTCTGTGTGTGTACAGGAGGGTAACAAACCTCAGCCATCATACTTTCAGTGTATGGCACATTCCTCTCACCACATTCACCACACACTTTCCTTCACCTCTCCTTCTCTGCTATATCTTTGTCCCTCTGTAGACCTGATACCCGCAGACGAATGACTCATCATTTAGTACCAAGTAAGATGCATGGTATGATTGGTTTCCTGCCTGGTAGAATCCAGACTTCCTGTTGGGTTGAAACCAAAGACACATTTGTTTTACTCAGGTGCGATAGGAATTTCAGAATCCCTTTTTCCGCTTTGTGTGGAGGTCTACTTCCTGTTTTACCATGACTTCAGCAGGAGACGTTTATAAGTCCTATCTTTAGTGGAGCACTTTGACCCCTCCTGACAGTGTGATCAGCATGACTACAGTCTGTCATTTAATAGGTTGAAGGTTCACAAGAGTGGATTACCATGGAATATTTCTTTTGTCTTTTTGTGGTGTTCTCTAGATGAGTACATACTTGATTTCCTCATGGAGTATGTTAGCTGCTGAAAGATTGTGGATGATTTTGAATAGCAGGTATGAGTATAGAAGATTTCCTGCATGAAATGGTCAGGCTGTTGGTTGTGAACCAGGTGGCACATCCTTTCTGAAGTCTCTCTCTTTGAGGACAGTAGATTGGCCATTGTTGAGCTCCAACCACGTTTACTGTTAGCCATGATTCTTGCATTTGTCAGTTGTATACAACACAATATACAAACTTAATGAATGTGTTAAATGTCAGGAATAGGGGCGGCAATGAACAATTATATTCATCATTGATTGAATTGCTGTAAAGTAATTTAATGTTTTTTTGCTAATGCCAAGTATGAAAACTATGCAGCTGTATGGATTTAGCAGATACTGCTATGTGCTACCGGTGCAGCTATTACAAAACTGATCATGTATTTCTGGCAGGAATTATGTTTAAATAAATTCATGTTAGACCGCTCTGTGATGGTGTAAACTATTTGTATTTGTTGTATTACTAGGATCTAGTCACTGAATTAAGAGGTATTCTCCGTCCTCTGCAGGTGGCGACAGACACGGTTGCTGGTAAGCTGAGTTCTACTCTCTCATGGGTGAAGAACTCGGTGTCCCACACGGTCAGTCAGATGGCTAGCCAGGTGGCCACGCCCACGTCCCTGCAGACCACTGCCACCTCCTCCTCCACCTCTCTGTCCTCAGCTGGCCTCTCCCCCTCCTCACCCGCGCTGCTCAGTCCTGACGATGTGGAGCTGCTCGCCAAGCTGGAGCAGCAGAACAAGTAAGCAGTCTCTCTGGAGCTTCTCCTGCCTATCAAATGGAGAGGCACCAATGGATGGAGAGCACAGTCTGCTTGATAAGGCAACAACAACATCATCTTTTTAAATGTTTAAACATTAAAAACATACAATAAGTCAATTTCTACAATATATAGATATATTGAAATATTTGAGATGGCCCCTCGTTAGCAGACCCACTGAACTACTACAGTGTGAGGTTACCCTTCACTAAATTGTCTTCTTACATACCACCTTAAAGATAGACAACAATCCTAATCAATGGCTTCAATTACGTTACTTAATTGCTTGTGACGGTAAATTCCAGAAGATTAATAAGAAAAATGTAGGTTAATTTAGAATATGTACCAAGGCTACTAAATAAAAAAATAAAATCCAACTGCTCAAGCATATAATCAACATTTAAGACGTTATCCCCACTCAGCAGCATCAGTTATCATTAGTGCATGACTTTAACATTGTTTACTTTGTTATTGAGTGAGGTTTTAGAACACTTATGGCACAGGACATAACAATTTGACCTGGGTTGACCTGGCCCATGAGGGTAGACGCTCAGAAAGAATGTACATAGGGGGGTTTAGTGGATAGTACTCACCATCTTCTATCAAATGTGAGATGGGTTATGGGCTGCTGTGATATAAATGCTGTGACTTGAAGCTTGTTCCTGTCCCCAGGGGAGCGAATAGCATGCAGTCATGTGATTGAGCTGTAAGGTGTCCAAACAAGTTCAACTTCCCCAGGAATTAAAACCGCTGTTCAAATACTACAAGGAAAACATGTTATCATTTTCACATTGACCTCAACAATTTCAATATGTTTTTTATTACATTTTAATTCAAAATGTCAAGTCAGTATTCAGACATTTGTCCACCTTATTGTTATGTCTTTGCCTTGTCCTTTGTACACATCGGATTCTGCACCACTCTAACAACTGTAGGATCTTTCTGCATCCCCCTCCTAAACTACACATACAGGAAAGTGACGTTCAACATGTTGTGACAGGCTGGGGAATATAAAGAGTCAAATAATGTTGGGAGAAGATGTACCAGTCTCCTGTTTTTACAGGTTCTGTGCTGACTTGTAATTAAAGGGTGTGTGACCCTTTTTGACCTGGCCTTCGGTGACCTGACTGCAACTTCAGGGAGGAAGAGACTGTCTGGTTTAAAGATGTTCTTAGTGCGTTTGTGAGAGATGGTTGGCCCATTTGATCTCATCCACTGGCTTAACAGAACCTAGGAGAAAAGGTTCAGGTTTGTGGAAGAATGCACATCCTGCAGCTATTGAGAGGGAGCGAAAGAGAAGTTAAAATAATAGCAATGGGGGCCAAAACTGGCAGGATCTACCCATTGATTCTTAAGTTACCAATTTGCTTATCATTGTGATTTTAAGGAACTGTAAATGTACATCTGATTTTCCTTTTAATATACAAGACATTATTTGGAGGGATATCCTATACAATTCTATTGCTGTGCAAACTCAAGAGTTCATTCCATTACAAAGAAAAAAAGTTCACTGTGTTGTCAGAAGTGAAAGGGGCCCTAATACGTTGATTTCAAGGTTCCGATTAGTATTTACTCCACTACAGTGGCAGACTGGCCATTGGGAATACTGGGGGTTTTCCCGGTGAGCCGGTGCTGTGCATGGGCCGGAGGGCCAAAAAAATTGGGTGGCAGGGAAACGGGGTTCAGGGGGAGTGGCTGTACCCGTAGGATAGAAAATGGGGAAGTGACGTCTGACTCAGAGGTCGCGCGGCTGTGGAGAAGAACGTCTTGCCCACATTCTGTTACTGAGTTTAGGCTAGTTAGCTATCAGGTTTATTGTTTTGGGTGCAGTCACTTTTGCCTCCACTTGCTGTTCAAATAAATGTTGAAAGAAAAAGTAAATCTGTTCATATGGGTGTTGAGAGATGCATCCATAGATTTAGTCCATAATTTTGCTCTCAAAGTGCACCAGATTGATGCATTTAACTTCAACATTTAAAAAAAAATCTTCCCGGGGGAGCATGCCCCCGGACCCCCCTAGAGGAGGTGAGGTCCACCACCTACCCACAACCCCTGTTAAAGTGTCTCACCCACATTGAGGATGCTTCCTACGCCCATGTTTTTTTCCATGCGTCAAGTCAGGCAAAATTGGGT